TGGTTCCATAAACTTATCCCCAGTGCTGCCTGCCCTGGTACACAGGCTGAGACCCTATCTGCCTGCGGACTGCCTCGACAGAGTGGTGCATGCTCTAGTTATCTCCCGCTTGGACTACTGCAATGTGCTCTACGTGGGGCTACCTTTAAAGGTAACCCGGAAACTACAACTAATCCAGAACGCGGCAGCCAGACTGGTGACTGGGAGCGGCCGCCGAGACCATATAACACCAGTCTTGAAAGACCTACATTGGCTCCCAGTACGTTTCCGAGCACAATTCAGAGTGTTGGTGCTGACCTTTAAAGCCCTAAACAGCCTTGGTCTAGTATATCTGAAGGAGTGTCTCCACCCCCATCGTTTTACCCGGACACTGAGGTCCAGCAGCGAGGGCCTTCTGGCGGTTCTCTCACTGCGAGAAGCCAAGTTACAGGGAACCAGGCAGAGGGCCTTCTCGGTAGTGGCGCCCGCCCTGTGGAACGCCCTCCCACCAGATGTCAAAGAACAACAACTACCAGAATTTAGAAGACATCTGAAGGCAGCCCTGTTTAGGGAAGCTTTTAATGTTTGATGTATTATTTCCATGGCCCCACTAAGGAAGAGAAAAACACAATCAAATTCAAAATAGTAGCAATTAATTGCACATTTGGTTTAATTCAACACAACCAATGAACTTGGAATCGTAGAATTAGAAGGGACCACGAGGGTCATCTAGTCCAAACCCTGTAATGCAGGAAACTTTGCCCAACATGGGCTTGAACCTACAGCCTTGAGATTAAGAGGCTTGTGCTCTGCCAGCTGAGGCTGTTGATCCGGTGATAACAGCTTTCCAAAGTCTGATAGTCATTTATACTTCCAAAGCCTCCCTGCCACCCCCCCTGCCTCTTAGCGTCTCCTTAGGTAATCCCCCCCCCCAAGGGGCAGTACCACCCACTTTGGGAACCACTGGCCTATCGCCTTCCAGATGTTTCAGACTATAACTCCCATGGCTGGGTCTCACGGGGACCATGCTCCAAATCATCTGGAGATAAGCAGGTTGGGGAGGCTGTGCCTTGCCATTTCCTGGTCCAAATCACTTTCCCCAAACCTTTATTTTTCTCTTCTTTCTTTGGAGGTGGAGGAGTTAGACATGCCACAGGGATCAGTACACTCCTCCCAGGGGATGAATAGCAACTTGTGTGGTGAAGTGTGGCCTAGTGGTTAAAGTATGTGGTACCTTGGTTTGCAACTGCTTTGGATTACAACCGTTTTGAATTACAACCACGTCAAACCCGGAAGTGCGTGTCCCTTTTTTTGGATTACAACCCAATTTTTTTGGATTACAGTGGTACCTTGGGTTAAGAACTTAATTCGTTCTGGAGGTCTGTTCTTAACCTGAAACTGTTCTTAACCTGAGGTACCACTTTAGCTAATGGGGCCTCCCGCTGCCACCGCCGCATGATTTCTGTTCTCATCCTGAAGCAAGGTTCTTAACCTGAGGTACTATTTCTGGGTTAGCGGAGTCTGTAACCTGAAGCATTTGTAACCCGAGGTACCACTGTACAACCAATTTTTTGGGGGGGAGGCCCCACTGGCAAAAGCGCGCCTTGAGTTACAACCTGTTTTGGTTTACAACCAGACCTCCGGAACGGATTATGGTTGTAAACCAAGGTACCACTGTACCTTGGACTTGGCCTTGAAGCTCACTGGGTGAACTTGGGGGGGCAGGCAGCCTAAGCTACTTCACAGGGTTGTTGTGGCCATGTAGTAGATTCATTTGGTCCCTCACTTAGGAATTTCTTTCTGAATTTTTTTTTAAAAAATGTATTTCTGTAAGGTTCAAATTTCCCCTGGCAACTCTACTGATATGTTCCTATTATGAATGGAAGGTGGTGTCTCAGTGATAAACAGATCCATGTTTGAAGAATAAATTCACAGCTGGAGAACCAGTGACCTTTCGGATGTTGTTGGATTCCGTCTCCCTTCATCTTTTGGTCATGCTGGCCGATGGTTCTTGGACTCCCAACAAACATCTGGTGGGCCACAGACTCCCCACCAAGGTACATATTCATAATGCAGACAAGTCCTCTGGCTTGGAGTTTGACGTATATCACAAACGTTTTCTACAAATAAATCAGATCAGAACTGCAATGCATTTTTGTGAGCTGAAAAGCGTGGTCGAAATCTACATTCCCACAAACTTCCAAAATGTAACTCTTTGGGGACACTGAATAGCATATTGCGTTTGTTCTTTTTAAATTGCTTGCCTCTGGTGATTGCTCTTTAGTGAAATGTCCCTTTATTCTAGAAGATTCGTTATGACATGAGTAATACATATCTATGTCAATCTACTGTATATTATGGAAAGTTGTTTGTTCTATCACCTGTTCTCTATGCATTCAGATGCCTCTATAGCAGGGATGTCCAACTTCCAAGAGACTGCGATCTACTCCCTCTAAAAAAACTCAAAAACTGGCAGTGATATACCCATTGTATTGACCAAAGTTGTTGAGCTTTTTGGGGGGAGGAAGACCCAAAGTTGTTGAGCGACCGGTAGATCATGATCGACATGTTGGACATCCCTGCTCTAGAGATATCATCACCAAATTTGGTATGAGGGTTCCCAAGACAGAGGAGCCATTTTTTGTCTGGATGCCATTGGACACCGTTTTGAATCAAGATGGCAGACCAAACAATTCCAAACTGATTTGGATACCTCTGAAGACCTCGTCACCCAATTTGGTGTGATGGTTTCCAAGGTCAAAGAGTGGGTTTGAATGTATGTTTAGATATCTTATGAAGGCATTTTGAATCAAGATGGCAGACCTAAATATTCCAACTTTTTGGTTTCTTATAAATTCTTAGAATTTCTTAGAATTTATGACTGGTCGGTCATAAAAACGGCTATTTCTGTTGGCCTGGAAATGACTTCACTTGGGAATGGGACCTACAATAATTTTCTTAAGATCTGGCAAGATGACTTGACTGATGACCTCCCCAGTATTCTGAAACAATACAGTTCCAGGAAGAACTGTATCATCTGAGTTCAACTGATGTCTAGATGGCTATGCTTACATTTTCCTTTCACCTATACCACTCTTCCTGCCCCTTTATCTCTTTTATAGTCCATTAACACCCCTGATAAATGGGTGGGTTGCAATTTACATTCTCCTTCAGAGGATGTCAGTGGAATACATGAAGCAGAGCTTTGATTTCTGTCAGCACCGAGATTTAGTGAAATGAGAAAACAATTATCACCAAATTCATGTCAGAGCTTATATCAGAGGTATAATGAATCTCCCTATTAATTAGAAACAGAGGTCTATGTGTTTGTTACATCTATAAGTTCTGGTACGTTACTAGGAGAAAGCTTTAGTGAGGTTATCTCAAAAGCGTGAGAATCCAGGAGTTCACCAGTTACTTGCTCCAGTCTGTTCTGTGCTGTCCAGAATTCTGTCACCAAAGTGGCAAGCACCTTAAAGACAATCACATTTATAAGCTTTTGTGGACTCAACCCCACAACGGTCACTGGGACCACTGACCCTTATGTTTTACTCCTTTTTGTACCTACCAAACAAAAATTTCACGACATGCCTTTGAAAAAGTGGGCTGGAGTCCATGAAAGCTTTTGCTGTCACCAGCGGTGACAATTCCTGTTCTGCCACGTGAGATGGAATGGGAAGTGCTGCCATGATCGGCCATGCCACCCTCCCTACCATCTCTATCACCAGCACTGCCACCCTCCACCAGCATCCCTGATGTGCCGCCTGCCTCCACGGGCACTGCCTGCTGTGCCACCTCCACCATTGGTGGAGAAGCAGCACTGGCATCGATGCCAACTTCTGGTGAGATCTCAACGAGACGTCACCGAAATCTCACAAGTTCTCATGCACTCCATGAAATCTTGTGAGATCTTGCAGAAAGTGGGTGCCAATGTCGCTTCTCTGCTAGTGGTGTGGGTGGGAGGGCCATCTCGGGGGCTTCTGCCACCTGAGGTGTCTGCTTCACCTGCTTCATGGGTGGGCCGGCCCTTGAAGGAAGGCCATCAGGAATTGGTTAGTCTTGAAGGCAGAGCTTTCCAAACTGTGTGTCACGACATGTCAGTGTGTCGGCTGCAGTGTGTAGGTGTGTCATGTGAATGTGCCCTGCACTCAACCCAGGGCTGGAAAGGGGTTAGTTTAACTTTTAGTTTGCTAGTAAAACTGAATTACTGTGTTGCGAAACGATGCAGGTCTAAAAAGTGTGTCACCAACAGGAAAAGTTTGGAAAGCTCTGCTTTAAGGTGCCACAAGGCTCCTTGTTTTTAGATGCATTGCTTAATGATCCCCTGCTTCAATTATTTTCTTCTAAATTTTGGTTGCTGTTTTATTATGGAAGTTAGAATCGTAGAGTTGGAAGAGACCCTGAAGGCCATCTAGTCCAACCCCCGCAACGTAACTTTATTGCTTTTTGTAAATATTTTGTATTCCATTTTATAAGGCACATAAAACAGAGAGAACAATTGTAGCAACAGATGAAAATGAAAATATGAAAAACAAAACCCCAAAAGACACAAGCAAAGTCCAGTTCCATATGGGTTAAGTAACAAAGTCCAAGTTGTGAAAGGGGAAAAGTGAGAACAAAAGTTCTCACACATCAACAAGGAATGTGTGTGTGTTATTTGATAATCAGGTGTACTTCCAGATTTGCCAGGCATGTGATGAAAATGATGCTTCCACTGTATATGTAATCAACAAATGCCAAATAATATAAAAAGCACTGTATAGGTTCTGCTCCTTGTGGACATCTCAAAATATGTGCAATTTTCAAGGCACTATATTAACGGATCTGTTTTGCACTTGGGGGACATATTATTAATGATTGACTGTCAGCTACTTTGAGGTTACTGACTGGCCGAAGAACAGCATTTACATACAGGCGAGAGGGGGAAAGGCCACCCTCCCCCAAAAGGAGCGAGAGACTTGACTTGCGCCTTCAGGCAAGGTTCATTCTAAAGTTTCCCGGAGCTGCTGTGCCGCCTCGCCACTCCTGGCTTGTTCCAAGACAGCTGCTGCTGGAGCAGCCGCGACGACGACGCCCTTGAAGGGTTAATCCGAAGCCCCCCCACTCACGTCCCCACCTCCCGCCCCTTTCGGAGAGAGCCGCTGCGAAGCAACCTCGCTCTGGTTTGAAAACGCACCCGCAGGCTGCTTGTGCGCCCAGGGCGCACGGAGCTCGCGCTTTGGCCACCCGGAAGCCTCCGTCTCTTCTCCGGCTGCTCCCCCAAACAACCAAGAGCCCCCGACGGCAAATCCCTCTCCTGTCTCTGGTCTCTTTCTCTCTCAGCCCAGTTCCCGCGCGGGGCCCTCCGCAGCCTGGGGACGATGCGCCTCTGAGTGGCTCGGTTTTGGGAGACCCCCTCGCCACTTTTGCGCGCCCAGGTTGCAGCCGTCCAAAGCGCTTCTTCCAAGCCGAGCGGCCCTTCCCAAAATGCCGCTGGCGTTCTTTTGGTGCTGCTTCTGCTTCTCCTTTTGGGGATGTACCCTCGGGACGGGATTCCTCTACCAGTTCCCAGCGTCGGCCTTGCAGCACAACTACCCGGAGCCGAATTCCGGAGGGCCGTCGGGCAATGGCTTTGCCAATCGCCGGTGAGTGACTCAAGCTTCCCTTCCCAGCAAATCCCAGGGTGGTCTGTAGGAGCGAGGAAAGGCGAAGTTCAGGAGCACCGCTGGGGATGGGAGGCTGCTATTCTAGTTTACCGAGGAGTAAGCTCCAGAACTCCATTGAAGTGCGACTTACCTCTGAGCAGACATATACTACTATATATATAAGATTGCATTAACTTTCATGGTGGCTTTTCTTTTGGTGATCAGGAGACAGCCTGGGGGTGGTGTTGTTTTGAAAACTAGCAAAACCATGAGAATAAAAACTTTTGCAGAAAACACCCCATGTATATAGTCAGTTGGACAAGCCTGCAGTAGATAAACTGAGCTGTATTGTTGTTGTTAATTATCCAGTGGTTCTCTCCATTTTAATTCTTGCAACAACCCTTTGAGGTAGACTGGACTGAGAGGCACTGATTGGCCCAAATTCACCCAGTGAGCTTTCTTACTTTGAGAAAAAGCAGGATATGAATTCTCCTCTCCCAGGGTTCTTAGTCTGGCTGGCACTCTAACCACTATACCACACTGTCTCTCAATAAACCTGAAGGGGGTTGTGTTGTGAATCTTATCCTCAATTCAAATAAATCATAAAGAAGGCTTTGCTCCTAAACTGCTCAATCCGGGATGGGGATGCTGCTGTTGCTTTGTGAGTCTCTGTATTGAACCATCACCAGTGTCCATTTTTATCAAGAGCAAAGGCGCCCAGGTCTTACCTCCATGATCATTTGACCCCCCTCCACTCATTCATTTCAATTCCTGGAGGAAACAGTGGGGAGTTCCAGGCACAGGGAGTGACAAAGGAGAATGGGCGGGGTTTTTATAGGAGCAGGTGACCTTCGATTGGCTGAGAGCAGTAGAGGTGGAGTTATTTTTATGCTGTAAAAAGTGTGAATGAAGCCATGTTTTAAGGGTCTGGTCATTATTTATTAGGGATGGGTGGCTCTGTCCATTTTTGATTATCTCAGTTTCTCTGTTTTCCAGTCCTAAATTAAAGTCCTTTCCATTTCTGCATCAGTCTGTGATTATTTTTTTCGAAGTCCTCATAAAGAATTCGTCAGTGTGTTAGTGTTAATTTCTCCCAATACACACATTTTGTAGATACAATTTTGCCTAAAATGTGAGTTTTTTCACAGAACAATTTCTCCTTATATAATCACAGAATCATAGCATTGGAGAGTTGGAAGGGACCTCAAGGGACATCTAGTCCAACCCCCTGCAATGCAGGAATCCAATGGATTTTATAATGTTATTTACACAAATGCATGTACAGTGGTACCTCGGGTTACATATGCTTCAGGTTACAGACGCTTCAGGTTACAGACTCTGCTAACCCAGAAATAGTACCTTGGGTTAAGAACCTTGCTTCAGGATGAGAACAGAAATCCTGCTCTGGAGGCGCGGTGGCAGTGGGAGGCCCCATTAGCTAAAGTGGTGCTTCAGGTTAAGAACAGTTTCAGGTTAAGAACGGACCTCTGGAACGAATTAAGTACTTAACCCGAGGTACCACTGTACAGTATTTTTGTGCACACAGTTTCATGGTATATGCATGTTTGACTGGAGAAGCATGAATTTTGGAGGATGGCTGGGTTTTGGTCCGCATAACCTTTTGGAAATGGCAGATTAGATAGATTCTTCTTGAAATGTGAGATGCGTCAAGTTTCTCCTCCATCCCTATCCCCATTTTGGAAAATGGTCTGTCTGCTCATCAGCTCTCTGTGCATTCCAAGGCCTCTTGAAATATCACCCCCAAACTTCGCCCAACAGTGCGTGAGATGGGGGAGCCAGTTTTCGTCTTAACTTTGGATTTCATTGGGCACCATTTTGAATCAAGATGGTGGACTATACCATTCCAAATTGTGCTGCTCAGGAGGTCTCTGAAGATAGATAGACAGAGGAGTGGGTTTTCTACTATGTTTGGAAATTATCGGGTGCCATGTTAGATCAATATGGTGGACGAAACTGTTCCAACCTGTGCCGTTTGGGACACCTCTCAAGATACTGCCACTCAGTTTGGCATGACAGTTCCTGAGACAGAGGAGCAGGTTGTGGGCTAGGCTAGGATACTGTCAAATGCCATTTTGATTTTAAGCAAACTTGGCAGCAAATCAATAGGATTGTGCACTGGATTCAGGCCAAAGTCTGATTCCCAAAACAAAATGGGTCAAGTGGATCTGGGCTCTGACCAAGTGGGATCAAGACAGCCCCAGATTATTCCTGGTCAGGTGCCAGGAGGACTTTCAAACAACCCTGCACTGTACTTTGGCTGTGCATGTCTGTTGCCAGCAGGATAACACATGTGCACAGTCAAACTGAGCAGGATGGAATCTTGCTGGTTGCAGGCATATGCTTTGTCTGTGCATTGTCTCGGCCCAGTATACCTGAAGGAGCGTCTCCACTCCCATCGTTCTGCCCGGACACTGAGGTCCAGCTCCGAGGGCCTTCTAGTGGTTCCCTCACTGCGAGAGGTGAGGTTACAGGGAACCAGGCAGAGAGCCTTCTTGGTAGTGGCACCCGCCCTGTGGAATGCCCTCCCATCAGATGTCAAGGAAATAAACAACTATCTGACTTTTAGAAGACATCTGAAGGCAGTCCTGTTTAAGGAGGTTTACTAATGTTTGATATTTTATCGTGTTTTTAATATTTTGTTGGGAGCCGCCCAGAGTGGCTGGGGAAACCCAGCCAGATGGGCGGGCTATAAAAAAAAAAATTAATAATAAGTTATCCACGTGTTTGTTTGCTATGCATTTGAACACTTTGTGGTGCCTATTTTGGTGTGGCATTTCTCGAGTTGGAGGAACTGGTTTTCATCTATGTTTGGTTACCAATGGGGGCCATTCTGAATCAAAATGGCTTACTGAACCATTTCAAACTGCACTGATTTGGACACCTCTGAAAGTATGGTTGCCCAATTTGACACAATGGTCCCCAAGATCATGTGATTCTTGCCCTACATTTGGAAACCATTGGAAGCCATTTTGAATCAAGATGGGGCACCAAATTGTGCTGGCTTGGACACCTCTGAATAGACCACCCCCAAATTTGGCATGGTGGTTTCTGAGGTTGAAGATGAGGGATATGTTTTTTATTTGGATATACTGTAACTGGTTGTTCGGGGTAGTGGCAGCAGGCAGAAAAACTAATAATTACATTATCCGTTTACAAATACTGTATCAGTATCTTTTGACTTCCAAGCTACATCAAGAACTGCCAGCCAAGTGCCTTATATATACCCAGTAGGTCACTGTGTTCTGCAGGCAAGTTTCTCCTTCCATGTCCCTAAAATGGGTGAAGAAACTCTTGGCCACAGGCTATTCTTGGCCTTCTGACACCTCCTCCCCCTTACTCTGCTCCCTCTTCTCCCTCTGACCACTCACTGTCGTCCCACCACCAGTCCCCTGGCTCTGAGCCTAGTTCCCTTGGGGGTTTCCCAGCTGGTCCCCCCCCCCCATCCAGCCACTCCATGACACCTTATGAAGGATGGTTGAGGGAGCCAGGTATGTTTAGCCTGGGGAAAAGAAGACTGATAGGTTATATGAGATAGGGTTGCCAAATTTCAAAAAGTAAAAACCAGGACACCCCTAAAGTTGCTGAGCTTTTTAAAGGAAGACCACAAAATTGTTCAGCTTTTTAAAGGGAAACCCAAAAGTTGTTGAGTTGTTGTTGTTTTTTAACAAATACTGTATGCCTGAACCACTGAATTCAGGTTACAAGGATATTCTGACTAAACATTATGAAGAATTTTCTGATGCTAAGAAGAAGAGAAGAAGAAGAGTTTGGATTTGATATCCCGCTTTATCACTACTTGAAGGAGTCTCAAAGCAGCTAACATTCTCCTTTCCCTTCCTTCCCCACAACAAACACTCTGTGAGGTGAGTGAGGCTGAGAGACTTCAAAGAAGTGTGACTAGCCCAAGGTCACCCAGCAGCTGCATGTGGAGGAGCGGAGACGCGAACCCGGTTCACCAGATTACGAGTCCACCGCTCTTAACCACTACACCACACTGGCTCTCAATGGCTCTCAATGGCAGAACAGACTGCCTCGGAAGGTGGTGGGTTCTCCTTCATTGTAGGTTTTTAAGCAGAGGTTGTTGAATGCTCATCTGTCAGGAATTCTTTAGCTGTGATTCCTGCATTGCAGGGGGTTGGACTAGATGACCATTGGGGTCCATTCCAAATCTATGATTCTATGATTTTATGATTAAGGCAACAGACCAATAAAAGTTGATACACACAATAGGGTATGTTGAGTTTTTGAGCTTGCAGCTTCCCAAAACGAGGGGTGCTAAGAAGTTGTAACATGACTTGGGAATTCAAAAGATATTTTGGTTATAGTTTTCCTTGGTAAGTAAAACGTCTGTAAAATTACATAGAAATTATTAAAAATGATTGCCAAGTACTTGCAGTTATATATTAATATTATTTTTATTGTTTATTATTATTATTTAGCATTACCTGACATTTTCAGGAGGTAAAATTCTTTGGTTTCCCAAAAGCAGTTTATGTGCATCTTCATGAAATGTAGACTTACCAAGCTAAATGTTCTCCCAAACTAACTGTTGTCCATTCACAAAAAATAATAGCAAATTTGAAATCCTCACACTCAAAAAACAAATTATTGAGACCCCTCACCAAAGAAATTTGGAAAAATGAAATTTCACCCACTAAAATAACATGCCCTAATAATGCACAGTGTCATTAACAAAAATAAAATAAAATATAAAAATTGATATTAAATACATTTGTGTCACCCCCCCCTTTTAAACGAGAATAAAAATGTAAAAAAAACCCTTTGAAATTCTCAGCTAGGAGGGATGGAGGAGGTTAGTAATGTCATTGTTCCTGGCCTATTAGTGCTAAGCACGGGGGCAGCTTCTGTTTTAAAACACAGGGAATCAATCAGCCAGACCTGCCGATAACAGTTCTGCACACAGGTTCTTTCCTTTAGATCAGTGACTTTCAATCTGCTTGGCCAACCTTTGCCAACCT